CAGAGGCGTCGTAAGGGGGGGCGGCCCCGGGTGACACCATTTAGGGGGTGACACCATAAAGCCTCTAAAGAAGGTGACACTAGTGCCCAAAAAAGTGCTGCACCAACATAAGAGAAGAAGCCTTCGTTTCTATATAGCCTATTATATATTAACAAAGTGCAAATAAGCCTATATAGGGAAAATCATTGATTTTGATGATGTGATAGAGGATTTTGCATAACTGAAGGCAAGAAAATGTAAGATCAGATACATTGAGATTTTACCTGTACTCAAGGTTGTATTGGAACTAGTGTTTCTCTGATATTGCAATGTTTTTCTTTATTTTTCAAGTTTTTTTTTTTTTTTTGTTTTTGCACTGCTGAAGTTGAATAAATGTAGGATCTGTTGGCTGTACTCACAGTGGTATTTGAGTTTGTTTCCTCAATATTACTACGATTATTTATTTCATCAATAATAAAGTTGAGAAGTATTCTCCTGTTCAGTTTATGGCCCTTAAACATTCTCATTGTTAAACATTTGTCACTGGTCATGCAGTAGTGACATAACTGGAGTTTACCCCCCCGTCCCCCCGCCCTTGAATTTCATGGGGGTGACACCAAAGATGCTGCCCCGGGTGACACCAACTCTAGCGACGCCTCTGACTGTACTTGTGCATGCTGTGAAAGTTCTCTGTACATTCTTCAGCTCAGAAATTTTGCCTGCCTTGAAGGGGGGCAGTTAGTGTACAGCAGTAAAGAGAACAAGCGATTTGAAGAGAATCATCATTGGCTTTGTGTCCCTACTTTTGAAGGCTCTCATTATCCATCCTATCATTTTTCTAGCAGATGAGGTAGATACATTGTTGTGGTTTTTGAAGGTGAGATCTTCTTGACATTATCACTCCCAGATCTTTCACATTAGTTTTTCGCTCTATTGTGTGGTTAGAATTTGTTGTATGTACAGTAGTGTTATTAACCTAAAATAAGACTATTAATGGGCATAAGAGTGATTATTATTAAACATACATCACATATAAACATTGCATGTTTTTATATATACTATATAATGTGTTTCTTACATAATTTTGAAGAAAATATCATAGATGGATTAATGAAAATGTCTATATTCACTTGAGAAACAAAGCCACACTGACTCATGACGCCTGCACGGGCAGGCACGCAGTTGCGGGCAGGCAGACGGGTCTGGCACGTGGGATGAAACACAGGGCACAGTGCGAAACTCGGGAGAAAATTGAGCCAAAAAATGGTTCTAAACTCGAAGCGTATGATATTCAGGGTGGACAAAACTCAGGGTTCCACTGTACTTAGTGTATACTGTATTGAAGGTGTATTCAGTAATTCATTATAAAATTCTAATTAAAGATGCATTTAGGATACAATACAATAGAATACAATTTTTACTTCATTATGTGGTACAAATACAGCGGAACCTCAGTTTTCAAATTTAATTTATTCCAAATGTTGCTTTGACAATGATAATCGATGACAACCAAAGCAATTTTTCTGATAAAGAATAATGTAAATAGAATTAATCCGTTCCAGACCCCAAATGACAATATAATAATATATTAATAATGTACTACTACTACATAAAACAATGTATACAATTATATGGCACAGGGAAACTGTAAAAATGAATACTAAATGAAAATTTAGTACAGCCTCTCCTCACTTAGCGACATACTCATTTACCGACCACTCAGACTTACAACAAGCTTTCCAACCAGTATGCAAACCTAAATAATGTATATAAGAGCTGATTTCCTCTATTCTGTTTATTACAGTACAGCCTCTCCTCACTTAATGATGGAGTTTCATTCCTAAAACCATGTCAGTAAACGAATTCATTGCTAAGTGAGGAGCATACTGTAATGGTAGTGGGTTTGTGTCAGCCATCTTTGATATTGTTTTAGTGTCACCTTTGTACCATTTATAACATTTCTATTATATTTTTAAATGTTTATACAGTAATAAACTGTACATTTTAATAAACAGAATAGAGGAATTCAGCTCTAATATACATTATTAAGGTATGCATACTGGTCGGAGAACCCGTTGTAAGTCCGAGTACTCGGTAAATGAGTATGTCCCTAAGTGAGGAGAAGCTGTATACAGTAAACTACAGGCCGGTCATCGCTAACACAGCAATCAGTTATCCGGTTCCATCAGTAATCCGGCACTAATTTTAGCTAGCATAATTTCAAATGTCATCATTATACTGACTCAAATTTCATCATTATACTGACTCAGAAATTGTGCAGATGGTTGTAAATCTACATCAGCAAGCCAGTGGAAGAGAAAACAGTGATGAAAATGAGGAAAATGTAGCAGAAAGAGTCTCTATTGATAGGTTAATTAAATGTATTCTAACCTAACCACTCTGTAATCCGGCAAACTCACTAATCCGGCACACTACAGGTCCCAATGATGCCGGATTAGTGATGGCCAACCGGTACTGTATAAATATTTAAAAATATACCAGGAATGTTATAAATGGTGCAAAGGTGACATTAAAAAATATCTAAAGATGGTTGACACAAACCCACTACCAGTATAATATGCTAACCCCCTACCAGTATAGTATGCTAACCCCCTACCAGTATAGTATGCTAACCCCCTACCAGTATAGTATGCTAACCCCCTACCAGTATAGTATGCTAACCCACTACCAGTATAGTATGCTAACCCCCTACCAGTATAGTATGCTAACCCCTACCAGTATAGTATGCTAACCCCCTACCAGTATAGTATGCTAACCACTACCAGTATAATATGCTAACCCACTACCAGTATAGTATGCTAACCCCCTACCAGTATAGTATGCTAACCCCTACCAGTATAGTATGCTAACCCCCTACCAGTATTTGTATGCTAACCCCCTACCATATAGTATGCTAACCCCCTACCAGTATAGTATGCTAACCCCTACCAGTATAGTATGCTAACCCACTACCAGTATAGTATGCTAACCCACTACCAGTATAGTATGCTAACCCACTACCAGTATAGTATGCTAACCCACTACCAGTATAGTATGCTAACCCCCTACCAGTATAGTGTGCTAACCCACTACCAGTATAGTATGCTAACCCCCTACCAGTATAGTGTGCTAACCCACTACCAGTATAGTATGCTAACCCACTACCAGTATAGTATGCTAACCCACTACCAGTATAGTATGCTAACCCCCTACCAGTATAGTATGCTAACCCCCTACCAGTATAGTATGCTAACCCCTACCAGTATAGTATGCTAACCCCTACCAGTATAGTATGCTAACCCACTACCAGTATAGTATGCTAACCCCCTACCAGTAAAAGTGTGCTAACCCACTACCAGTATAGTATGCTAACCCACTACCAGTATAGTATGCTAACCCCCTACCAGTATAGTATGCTAACCCACTACCAGTATAGTATGCTAACCCCCTACCAGTATAGTGTGCTAACCCACTACCAGTATAGTATGCTAACCCACTACCAGTATAGTATGCTAACCCCCTACCAGTATAGTATGCTAACCCACTACCAGTATTTGTATGCTAACCCCTACCAGTATAGTATGCTAACCCACTACCAGTATAGTATGCTAACCCCCTACCAGTATAGTATGCTAACCCACTACCAGTATAGTATGCTAACCCCCTACCAGTATAGTATGCTAACCCCCTACCAGTATAGTATGCTAACCCCCTACCAGTATAGTATGCTAACCCCCTACCAGTATAGTATGCTAACCCACTACCAGTATAGTATGCTAACCCACTACCAGTATAGTATGCTAACCCCCTACCAGTATAGTATGCTAACCCCCTACCAGTATAGTATGCTAACCCACTACCAGTATAGTATGCTAACCCCCTACCAGTATAGTATGCTAACCCACTACCAGTATAGTATGCTAACCCCCTACCAGTATAGTATGCTAACCCCTACCAGTATAGTATGCTAACCCCCTACCAGTATAGTATTTCTAACCCCTACCAGTATAGTATGCTAACCCACTACCAGTATAGTATGCTAACCCACTACCAGTATAGTATGCTAACCCACTACCAGTATAGTATGTTAACCCACTACCAGTATAGTGTGCTAACCCACTACCAGTATAGTATCCTCGCTGAACAGCCTACTCTTAGGAACAGAACCTCATCATTAAGTAAGGAGAGGCTGTGTTTATGTACAGTAAATGAGAATTTAACTGCCCTTTACCTGTCAGAGGAAAGTAAATGTTTCTTTTCTTTGTCTCTTTTCACCACTAACACCTTGTTCTGGTTCACTGGTTCTTTGTCTCACTTAAAACCTGTCCAGTGAGGTTTCTTTCAGGCTCCATTTTAACACTTGTATAAATTGAGATATTCCACTGTCATTGTGCATGTTACAAAGATGGATGGCCACTGCTTTGTCTGGATGGTATTTTTCAACAAACTCCTGCACTTCATGCCATTTAGCACACATTTCCTTGACAAGTGCAATGAGCTCATCATCCCTTCCCTCCTCTTCCTCTGATGACAGCTCCTTGGCTGCAATCTTTTGCTGCTCCTTCTGAAGGTCTAGCTCTTCTGTGGTGAGTTCGGTTCTGTGCTCCTCCACCAACTCCTCCACATCATCTTCAATTACCTTTAGGCCCAAGGTCTTCCCCAGGGACACAAACTCCTCTACTGTCTCAGGCTCATCTTCAAAGCCTTCAAAATCCCTGGCTGTCACTAAGTCAGGCCACAATTTTTTCCATGCTGACTGCATGGTCCTGTAAGACATATTACCCCAGGCTTTGTCTATAAGCCTCAAGCAGGTGAGGATGTTGAAATGGGCCTTCCAGAACTCCCTGAGGGTTAAATTTGTTTCTGAAGTGATTTAAAGCACCTTTCAAAAGGTGCTTTGGTATAGTGTTTCTTGACGTTAGAAATGACCTGCTGGTCCATGGACTGATGACAAGAGTGGTGTTAGGAGGCAAGAACTTCACAGTTATAAAACTGAACTCCTCCAGCAACTTGTTTTTCAGGCTTGGAGGGTGAGCAGGACCATTATCCATAAGTAAAAGGACCCTGAATGGCAATTATTTTTTAATGAGTTACTATTTGACTGATGTTGTTGGTCAACAACCAAGAGAACGTATGAAAACCTGGACATTTTTTCTCAAACACCTTGTTTGAAAACTGATCTATTCGACAAGTAATGCAGTCAACAATTGAGGTTCAACTACAGCGTTTACGTTTAATAAAACAAAAGTAAGTCACTAATTATGAAATGCATTACAGGCAACTACTCATAAGCCTTAAAAGTTACTTAAGAACTAGACACAGACTATTAGTAGGACTTATGTAGTTAACTACAGTCGTAAGTACAATAAGAAGGTAGCTAATAACAAGTGGTCAATTACAAAAGAATTATGTATTTAAACTGATTAATGATCTTCAGTTTTGTGGGGTGATTGAACACAGATGGTGAAGATACAGCAAGTTACATAGTTACAATAGAAATACAATGGGACAAAATGTGTTGCCATTTATGTATGGGAGTTACAGGAAGGCTGAAGCCAGGTATACCTGAACTGATGAATGAAAGTTGGAAGAAGGCTAGAGCAAGAGCAGGGACAATAGTGGATGAAAGACAAGGTTGCAAGATTTGTTGAGCATAATAGATTATTGTCAGGATCACATTAAGGTAATGAGTTGTTTTTTAACAGTAGCTTTGAAGTTGTTGGCAGATGGGGAGCCTCTGGAATCTTTAAGATTAAGAGTTCCAGATTTTAGGTCCTTTTATATACATTGAGTCTTTATACAGTTATAGTCTTACATAGGGACTATCAGAGACTTTTTGTCTAGTATTATGCCCATGAGTTCTGTTGCAGCTATCAAGAAAGAGTTTTAGGGCAGGACTGATGTATTAGAATTGATTGTGCAGAAATCTATTAATGTTCTTTCTAACTTGCAGACAAAAATAATGTACAAAATATTATGCACAATGCCTCGTATTTCTTGTTTGGCTGGTCATCATTCGACTCCTGGAGTTTTATACAGCATGTTTTCAGCAACATCTCAGGTAACTGCAGTAAGTAAATGTAGTACATAATACATATACAGTGGTACCTCGAGTTTTGAACAGCTCCCAATTCGAACAATTATGTAAGTGCATTTTTGTAAGTGCATTTTTGTAAGTGCTTTTGTAAGTGTATTTTTGGGGGTCTGAAACAGACTAATCTAATTTACATTATTTCTTATGGGAACAAATTCATTCGGTAACGGCACTCGAACAGTCTTCTGGAACGAATTATGGCTGAAACTCGAGGTACTACTGTTTTAATGGACCTCAGTTTAATGGATTTCAGATATTTGTTGAATCTAGAATTGTTTGTTATTGTTATAGTCATGGAAGATGAAGAATGAGTTACAATACTATTGCTGGAGCAAGTCAGTTTGACTTTTTTAGGGGTTATCCTAGGTAATTTACACTTACATTACTAATATAAAGCAGTTGTAATCCAAAAATTATGTAAAATTGTACCTAAAAAATAAACACACATAACCCTAATTTTAAAGGGGAATTTTATAATGTTTTGGTCCATCCTTGATCATTATTAGTTCATAACTGAATGTGAAAAGCAGAGAAAACCAGAAAACAGATCATGCAGAGTGAGGGGAAAGAAGGTAGTTGTCATAATAGTAGTATTAGATGAGATGAGTGCAACCATAATTGACCATATATGGACAAACATACTAGTCCCCCTTAACCCTTTCAGGGTCCGTCCCGTAAATCTACGGCTTCACGTTGAGTGTCCAAACCGTAGATCTATGCCAAAATTCTAGCTCCGTCAAATTTAGCGCGAAAGTGCTCATAGGCCTACACGTGAGAGAATGGGTCTGCGTGGTGGGTGTGCACCATAAACAAAAAATCTAGGCGCCCGCATAGCATTGTGGGAACGCCGGCTCAGTTACCCTTTTTCACCATGCCTCGTCACAAGTCAGCTCTCACTCCCCGGAAAATTGGGACTCTCCTCTTCCTATCTGATAGTTCTGACACTGATGGAAGTGGAAATGAAGAATTCTATGGCTTTGATCAGTTAGTGACCGAAAGGAATGACCAGGATATCGATAATAGTGCAGAAAACCCTGACGATCCTCAACCTTCTACCTCTGGTGTGGGCACTCGTGACTCACGGTTGGTTGTGCCTCAACGCAAGAGAAAACTAATATTTTCGCGTGGCCAGGCCTCTGACTTCAGTAATGATGATGATAGTAACGTGGATTGTGATTTTATTGCGCTTGACGATCATTCGAGTAGTGATAGTGAGGAATCATATTCACCAGTGAAGCGTCGGTACGTACGCCGGCGCATGCGCTCGGGTAGTGTGCCCTATGCTGTGCCTAGGGGACGGAGTACATCCCGTGGCCCTACACCAGGTTTAGATAGTGATAGTGAGGATGATGTGGCTACATTTGGCATGGATAGACCACAGGCATCAGTAGATGGTGGTAGTGGTGATGGTAGTGGCACCGCCATGCGTGACTCACTAGCCCAGGCTGGGACCCACGCTGCTGACTCGTCAGTTCAAGGACAAAGCGGAGCGTCAGCCACCAGCCCACCACACCCACAACCACCCGCACAACCAACCTATGATGTCCAGTATCCACCAGCAAACCGTATCTGGGATTGGCAGCAAAATCCCAATTTTGTTCCCAAGCCCCACCACTTTGATGACTCTCAAAGTGGAATTCTACCTACTTGTCCCCTTGGAACCACGGCCAATGAACTGGAATTCTTTGAATTATTCTTTGACCAGCCATTGATGGAAACTATTGTCAGGGAAAGTAATAAGTACAGTATTTTGAGTACACCATGGCAAATACGATCATATCACCACAGTCAAGACTACACAGGTGGAAAGAGACGACTGTTGCAGAAATGTATTTGCTTTTTGCAACAATAATGCTTATGCCTCATGTCTATAAGCATAATATAAAAGCATACTGGTCCACAGATCGGCTAATTTCTACCCCGGTCTTCAGTGAAATCATCCCAGTGAACAGGTTTATCTTACTGTTACGTATGTTGCACTTCTCTGACAAAACCAGGCCTGACAGAAGTGACAGGTTATACAAGATTAGAAATGTTTTTATGTATCTCAAACAAAAGTTCAGCATATACTTTTATCCATTCAAGAATCTTGTAATTGACGAGTCTTTGATTTTGTTCTAAGGTAGACTGTCATTCAAGCAGTATATACCGAGCAAGAGGAAACGCTTTGGTATAAAACTGTTTGTACTCTGTGACTGTGACAGTGGCCTGGTGTTGGATATTGTTGTATACACGGGAAGTAAAACATTGAAAGATACCAAGATGTTATTGGGTATCTCAGGTGACGTAGTGAGAAACATGATGGCACCTTATCTTGGTAAGGGGCATACATTATATACCGATAACTGGTACACAAGCCCATTACTCAGTGATTTCATGCGAGTGAACAAGACAGATGTGTGTGGCACAGTGCGTTCTAATCGTAAACATATGCCCAGGCTCAACGCAGGTGCTTGTGGTGATGACATGCAGGTGTTTACTGCCAATGACATCATGGCATTATGGTGGCATGACAAATGAGATGTCACTTTGTTGACAACCATTCACCGTAATGAAATGCAAGACGGTGGCAAAGTTGATCGAGTGACTAATGAACGTATTCGAAAACCAGTGACAGTGATTGATTATACACAAAACATGCGCTTGGTTGACAGATGTGACATGCAGATTGGTTTTGTTGATTGTGTTCGTAAGAGTTACAAGTGGTACATGAAACTTTTCTTCCATCTCATGGACATTTCAATGCTCAATGCATATAATATGTACTAAATAAAGACTGGCAGCAGACTACCGTATGGTGAATTTTGTTTGTCTGTTGTCAGACAACTCATAATGAAGTACCAGGTAAGAACACCTACTATACAACAAGGTCCTCGAATTACTCAGGATATACCCAAGCGTTTGAGGAGGGAAGGTGATCATTTCATAATACAGCTTCCTTCAACTCAGAAGAAATTTGCTCAGAAGAGATGCATTGTCTGTGCACAAACAAAACGACGGCAACAAAGACGCAAAGACACTTGGTTTTTGTGTGAGGAATGTAAGGTGTCTTTGTGCATGGTGCCTTGTTTCAAGGAGTTCCACAATCTCCAGCAGTTCTAAAACCATGTCCAGCGATTCTAAATATGTAAATATATGATAGAACATTAGTATTATACAAGATTTGTGCATGTTTATTGTAATAAACAACAGTGGTAAACAATAATATGATAATAACTTTAGTGCGGTTATTGTGTTCAATACAGTGAGTTTTGTCTGTGGAGACAAAGAACTTTGTCCTTGGAGGCAAAGAGGGGAATGTATGAGAGTATAGTTTTACCAATGCTCTTATATGGGTGTGAAGCATGGGTGATGAATGTTGCAGCAAGGGGAAGGATGGAGGCAGTGGAGATGTCATGTCTGAGGGCAACGTGTGGTGTGAATATAATGCAGAGAAGTTGTAGTTTGGAATTTAGGAGGGAGGTGCGGGGATTACCAAAACGGGTTGTCCAAGGGGCTGAGGAAGGGTTTTTTGAGGTGGTTTGGACATGTAGAGAGAATGGAGCGAAACAGAGGACTTCAAGAGTGTATCAGTCTGTGTGGAAGGAAGGCGGGGTAGGGGCCGGCCTAGGAAAGGTTGGAGGGAGGGGGTAAAGGAGGTTTTGTGTGCGAGGGGCTTGGACTTCAGCAGGCATGCGTGAGCGTGGTTTGATAGGAGTGAATGGAGACAAATGGTTTTTAATACTTGACGTGCTGTTGGAGTGTGAGCAAAGTAACATTTATGAAGGGGTTCAGGGAAACCGGCAGGCCGGACTTGAGTCCTGGAGATGGGAAGTACAGTGCCTGCACTCTGAAGGAGGGGTGTTAATGTTGCAGTTTAAAAAAGTAGTTAAAGCACCCCTTTTGGCAAGACAGTGATGGGAGTGAATGTTTGGTTGAAAGTTTTTCTTTTTCGGGCCACCCTGCCTTGGTGGGAATCGGCCAGTTTGGACAAACTTCTTCGCACTGTATCTCGGTAAGTACTGATCAGAATTTTTTTTTTTGTCTTATTACCTTCACAAAAATATGCTCTTTAATTCTGTAAGAAAAAATATTTTTTTTTTTTTTTTTTTTTTTTTTTCAAAATTTCTTGGACACTGGAGCACCACTTAAGATTTTGGCCTTGGACCCTGAAGGGGTTAAAGTGGGGATAATCACAGACAACAATATTGACCACTACCCATCTTTCCTCCTAACAAACAATTGTAAGCAACCAATAGAATATAATAACCTCTCCTGTCGACTCCATGATGAGGCTTCGATAAGTAACTTCAATTCAATTCAATTCAATTCAATTCAAGTTTATTCTCTATAAGGGTTACAGTGTGGGGTTTACAGGTTTTGGGTATTGTGTGGTTTACATGTTATAAAATACTAATTACAGAGGGGGCCACTAGGACACCTAGCCTGGCTAGGCATTTCGAGCAGACTTAGATTAATTCTTAACATTAAATCCTTACAGATTATGGTATTAAGGCTAAGTGACTACATCATAATTTGTGAGTTTAGCAATGTGAATGCTTTTGTTTTGGCACAATACAAGGTGTCTATATTGGAGTATCATAGGCAAACTTATGACTAGTTAGGATTTATTATTTTAAGATTAAGATTAGTATTTCTGGGTTTATAGTCAGTAGGATGTGTGAAGTGTTAATTGTGAACACCAGGTGGTTATCATGTAGTTTAGGTGTTGGGGGGGTCAGGGAGATAAGATGTTTTCTAACTGTTAGTTTTGAAAGTGATGAATGTGTCTGCAGTTCTGGCTCTAGAGTTTTCATGTAGGGTGTTCCAGATTTAGGTCTTTGAAAGTCATTGAATTTCTTGTAAAGGTTTAGTCGAACACGGGAATGTCATATAGATGTTTGTTGCTGGTGTTATGCCTGTGGATCTGTTCACACTATCAATAAGCATTTTAGGTCCCAAGGTTAATATTGGAATTTTAAGGTACTGTAGATATA